CTGGGCCACTGTGAGATGGGAGTGAACAGGAAGTTGGGTCGGGGGAATGGGCGGGAGAGGAAAGAGAGAGAATACGGAGGGGTGGGGAGGAAGGTTGAGCCAGTGTGTCAGGGCCTAACAATGAACTGTCTGTGTCAGGAAAACACTCTTACTCAACTGGGCTATTTTTAGGGGTTTATTTTTTTTTTCCTCCCCTTGGCCTCCCTCCCTCGCCCAGCTCCTACCCTCCCTTTTGTGCCTCATGGCGCCTGGTAGATTGGTGGAGATTTAAAAGCTATGGATGAGAAAAGAGTTTACTATAGTGCTGGAAAAACAATGGGTGGGGGAGGCGAAGGGGAAGGGAGATGAGCTTCCAGAAATAGCCTTGGAGTGATGTCTGCCTTTCAGGCCCTGGAGCTCAGAAGAGAAATATGTCATCTAGGCCTTGTGACAAAACCTGTTCTCCAGGACCTTCTACGGTTTACAGGGCCACAAGTCTCCCATCCCCGGAGAAAAGGTCTTTGAGTAATTAGCTGCCCTATCTTCCTTCACACAAACCAGTCTGCAGTGTCTTCTCCTAGCTAATTTGTGAGACCCCAAGTGGGAATTGAGTGTGCTGGGTCTCCCTTCTGTCCCAAAGGCCACCCGACTGGCTGTACGATGAAAGTGCTGCGACTCACCTTGAATTGTGACTGGTTTTCGAAATTCAGAATCAAGATTTCAAAATGAGGCCTGCACATCCTGACTGGGGATGAAGTACAGAGTAACACACTGTTTTATGTTGTTTCCAACCCAGGTAGTGAAGTGGCCTTCCTAGGAAAGTATGTTCCACATGGACTTTGTGCCTCTTTTATTCTGTAGTCTCTCATTTTTATGGTAGATGAATTTCTACCCTTCTAACCCCTCTTTCCTATCTCCTTTTCAACTTTTGAACTCCTTTTTTGGCTTCCACTGTCCAGGCTTTTGGCTTGGACTCTTTATCTTCACATTTCTATGAGTTTTTCCATAAATTAAGCCACCTTGACTTTGCTTCTGCTGAAACTTGCCATGCCTGCCCTCACCTGTTCTTTACCGTAACTTTTGTTACCTTCCTTTCTCTCTGCCCCTTCTGTATGCCTAGCAAATGTCCTACCCTCCAGCAAGCATCCTAGACTCCAGGCCCTTCAGGACTGTGCAAATACAGATGAATGCTCTTGATTTTCTCTCATATATCAATAACAGAGCAGTGTCTCTCCCCTTCTCAGCCAGCTCTACTGGCTCAACATTTATTTTAGGAGCCAATAAAATACTGATGTCTTTTGGAAAAGCCTCCACTGTTGTGCTCCTTCCTACCTTGCTGACCCTGTCTGTCTCTTTTCAGCCCTCTGATTCCCTCCTAATCTTGCAGTAACCTCCCCTATATCCTTCCACAGGGTTTTGTCATTGCTCAGGTGCACCCGCCTTCTCCACTCCTCTTGCTGTCTGCCAAGAGTTTATAATGCTCTGCCTCCTCAACCCTGTTTCTTATCAAATTTCATGTGAAAACACATATTTTTCCCCTTGCACATAACATTTCTTCATTCCTCTATGCTTTACTATTCATTTCATTAGTTATGATGCTCAGCAGCCTGAGGGATGGAGAACAAGACAGTGCCAACTAAAACTGCATTGTAGTATGGCAAGAGGTGAACTTATCAGGGTTGAAGCTTAGGATGTCTTCCATGATAAAGCATAGGAAAAAGCACATAAAGGAGGAAAGATGGGGCAAGAGATGGGTGCACAGTCAGAATGCAAGCCAGTCTGCAAGCCCTGCGTATACACAGGGATCCTGGTGGAGTCAATGGGAGGTGTGTACATAGCTGGAGTTAGGCAATAGCAGTACCCTTAGAAACAACAAGCAATCTGGACTCCTTGCTTGTTCCAGTTCTTGCTTCGGTTCAAATCTTTTCCCTCCTCCCCAAATTCATCCTTAAAATAGATGTTAATATTGAGCAGGGGGACACTTCTCTTCAGAATCACAATGGTGGGGCACTAGAATATAGCAGTAGAGCGCTGTAGTGCTGACCCTGGACCATCTTACTCCACAGTTACTTTGACTTCACTGGGCCTTTTCATCAAGTCCAGCCCTGTTCAGTAATAACTGAACAAGTGCAGAAGTGTCTGTCGCAGTCTGTCCGCGCAGACTCAGAAGGGCTCCTATCTTGGGGGGATTCTGACTCCATTCTTAATCCGTGCTTTCCAAAGGCAAAGCCCTTATTGAAGATCAGTGCCTGGGTGGAAATTCTCCTCAGGATTTGGTGCTCTCTGAGAAAACCCGAGAACCCCTCCTCAGCCTTAGTCATAAAAATCAGAGAGAAGTAGGGCTCGAGGGGGACCTCAATCCAATCCCCTGCTTGAGGTGGGATCATCCCTATCCAAACCATCCCAACCACTGTTTTTTTCTTCTCTTGTTTGTGTATAGCCACATTTTAGGTTACAAACCAGCAGACAGTGGGGACCAGGTTGCCTCTGTAATGCAGGGACTGATTCCATGCAATGGTAGTCGCTCTCCAGTTGAAGATATCTTGAATTGGACATTGTGCAATTCTGGCAAAAGAGGGTTGTAAAGTAGGTTTTGGATGATGGCAGGAGTTAGGAGCCTGCCAGAAATGAAACACTAGATGTAGGATACAGGCAAGTGAAACCTGTTGTGAATCAGACTAATTTTCTGGAATTATATCATGGGTCCCCAGCTCCCCAGGGCACAGCTGTTGTGTGCAGAAGAAAAAGCCTTCTTTGAAGCCACCCAGAGGGGCAAGAGGATGAACTTGTTCTTCCCACAGAAACCAGTTAGCAGCTCAGATAAATTAGAAAAGCGTTTAGCAAAACACCCCCATTTTAGAGCCCTTCTGTTTGCAACAGCCATCCGACGCTTTTGTAGTTTGCCCCTTGTCAGTCACTCGGGATGTGCTGTGGCATGAGGTGAGCTGACAGTGTGGTGGGGCAGAGCCAAGTTCTGTATTTCATCCAACATCAAGATATGTCCAGAAGTCAAAAATATATTCAGAAAGCTTCAAAGGCTCTGTGAGCCAGGCCAGCGCTGAGGCACCCCGAGAAGAGCCTGCAGTCCAGCCATGAGAGCAGGCAGCCGGAGGACTAAGTTCATTTCCTGATTCTGAAAATGAACAGGGATTTCCTTTTGAGAGCAGGGGATCAGGAGTTAAGAGGTTTGAGTTCTGGGTGACACTAACTCCCTGTGTGATTATGAATCAAGCCACATCTCTACTCTGCGCCTCAGTTGTCTCCAGCTCTAAAATGGGCTGATATTTGTAAAGCATTCCTCTCAGCTCGCTGACCTTTCTGTGTGTGCAATAAACAAAGATAACTTTTGCAAATGGCATCCATCCATTTGAAAATCTGGGGAACAGTCCTTTGTATTAGTGAACAGCGCCTTATTGATGTCTGGTGCAAAATCAGAAAGCTGGCAAGGCCCAGCTCCCTCTAAAATTCCCCCCTGCTATATTCTGAGTGACCAGATGACACTTACCATTGAGGCGGAGCTTAGATTAAAGCTAGGGAAACTCTTTCTGCCAATTCTGGCTATTCCTTCAGCGTCCCCAAGCCAAGCCCCTCACTCCCACTTGGGTCAAACTGCCAACAATTTTAACAAAGACCTAGGCTTTTCTTTCTTTAAGAGCCATTGAAACTGGCTCGCTGGGACTAGAATGGACAACGCCCTGCAGCTTTTCCGTCTGCTGGTGCAGGCCTGCCTCTCACTTGAATTCGAGCATGCGGTCCTCTGGTGGACGGTGCCTACCTTTGAGGAATGCTGGGCCATCAAGGTGGCGCAGTGCCGAGTCAAGGGGGGACGCCTGCTCCTTGCGCTGTGACACCACCACCTGCCCAGGGTGTAGGGGCGGGTCCAGCGACCCGAGACCTCAGGCTTTGCCTGTGCGGGCCGACCCGTGGTGTCCTGAAACTCCCCTGGGCGTCTCTGCTGTAGAACTGTATATATGTATATATTTCTTTGTCCCTTATTTTCTTTTGTCTACAGTGTGTGGGCAGGCCTTGCAGGCCATGAGCCCAGGCTTTGTCCTCGAGGCCCAGACCTACGGGCCAACCTGTAGGGTCTTTGCTGCCCCCCATTTGTCACCCTCCCTGGAATAAATATTTTCTAAAAGTCAAAGTCTTTCTTTCTTTCTTTCTTTCTTTCTTTCTTTTCCCCTTGTTTAAACCAAAGTCCTTGAAGTCCTATTGACTTCAGAAGGGAATGAGCAAGTGTCTGTCAGGGTTACACATTTGACCTATGCAAGTGATGAAGTGGGAACCCTTTTAATTTACCCATCTCTGGAAGGAGCTTTGAGATCCTTGCTTGAAAGATACCATGAGAAGCCAAGAGGTTACTGTTGTCATGTATGCGTGCCTACTGTGGAGTGTCCCACAAACTTTAGGGGGTCTCAGTCTGAGGGGAAAGCCATCCAGTTCTCTGCCTCTTTCTTTTTTTCTCCCTAGATGTTGGGGGATTTCTGATTCTTGCCTGACTCAGAAGTCAGGAAGAGCATTTTCTGGGAACTGACTCCAAAGTGCATGAACTTAAGAGGTCCAACAGCATCTGTTTCTACTCTGTGGGAGGGGAGCTCAGGAGGGAGAGGCGGGGGTGCTCAGGGATCCCTTCCCCTCCTGCTTCTGCCCTTTCAGCATTTTGCCTCTTGCTTCCCAGCTCTTCTGCACGTGCTTCTGGAGAGAAGCATAAACTCTGAAGCAGGAGAGGAGTGTGCAAGGCAGGAGGATGTCTCACGACAAAAGAATCAATGAACAGAGAAGGGCATTTATTGAAACTGTTTCTGGTCTCGCCTCCTCCTCTTCGGGCCTTTTCAAAGTGCAGCATTTGTGGCACAGGAAGCGACTGATCTCCAAACCGTGGCCCCCAGTCGGGGAGTCGTGATTTCCTTTGAGGCAGTCCGTTATCTTTCGTCTGTCAGGACAGGCTCCCCCCACCCGCTGCCCTCCCCTTCCAAACTTCTCTGTCTGCCTTCCCTCATCCCCACTGCACACACTCTCCGCTGCCAAAAAAACGGCCATCCTCCGCCCCCTCCTCAGCTAACTTCCTTCCAGCATTTCCTGAGCTGGATAATCCCAGGATCTGTAAAACAGGGGAAAAGAGAGAGAGAGGGAGAGGGAGAGGGAGGACAGGAAACTCGTTTCTCATTCCACTACTGCTGTCCGAAGGCAAACGGGCAAGGGAAGGCAGGGCTGGAGAGCTAAGAGAAGCCTCATACAGCCTCTGCCTGGGTCCCTCTTCATTGGTGTTTTTGGAGCTTTCAGTTTCTTCCACAAGTTCAGGGAAGAAAGAAGTTTAAAAAGAGGGCAGTTTTTCCTCTCAACAGTGGGCAGGACCTACTGACTTTCCATCCTGTGGGTGGCTTTGGAGGGGACCACTGAGGAGACGACACCCACCTCAGCCTTCGTCTGCCCTGACTCGCCAGCTCTGATGTGGGCACCAGTCTACCACCCACCACCCTCTGATGAGATCCCTTCCGGGCTTGGGCTATGATCACTGCTGCTGCCTGCTGGGGAGCCTCCTCTCGTCCTGATCTTCCCCTGCCACACGAGCAACCCAACATCTGGTGGGGATTAATGCACATTTCTCTGGCCGGACGTCCTGCGAGACCCCCGATGTCACCTCCCAGGAGCGGGATACAGGCAGTGGTCTGAGAAGAAGCGTGAGCTGTGCCTGTGCTTGGTGTGAGGGGGGGAGGGGGGTACGGCAGGAGGGGGGTGAGCCTCTTTTGGGACTAACTCATGAAGAACAAGGGAGCGAAGCAGAAGCTCAAGAGGAAGGGAGTCGTGAGCGTGTTTGGCTGTGACCTGACGGAATATCTGGAGGGCTCGGGGCAGGATGGTAATTGCCTCTTTTCTATTCTTGCTTTGCTAGTGGGGACCATATGTTCCCCCCGCCTTTTTTTTTTTTTTTTT